GTCAGGGATTCACAGATTCTTAGGAAAAGATGGTGATAGATAGATAGATAGATAGATTTACTTATTTGAAAGGCAGAGAGAGAGAGACAAAGACAAAGATAGTTGCACAGAGATCTCCTATTTGCTATGGTGCCTGCAAAGATGGGACTGGGCCAGGCCAAAGTCAGGAGCTGGAAACTTAATCCAGGTCTCCAGTGTTGAGTATGGCAGGGACCCAACTACTCGGCATGATCTGTTGCTTTCCAGGGTGTGCATTAGTACGAAGCTAGAATCAAGAGAGGAGCTGGAACTCAAACTCAGGTACTCTGATATGAGATGCAGGAGTCACAAGTGGTGTGAAAACATTCCTACAACATCCCTAATACTCCTAACAAAATTAACAGTAATAGCACTCAATTCATTCAATATTTCCCAAAATCATTCTATAAGTGTTATATTCAAATTCAGATCCAAATCAGATACACATTACAGTCTATCTAAAATCTTTCTAAATCTACACCACATGTCTTCCACCAACTTCAACATCACCTCTTTTATTCCCAAGATATTTACTCATAAAATTAAAAAATCATCTTTCTTTAGAATTTCTCATGCTTGGGATTTGGGTAAAATCTTTGTCATGAGGTCATCTGACATACATGCCATGTCTTGACTACATCTGGAAGTTAGTGTAGAGGCTGGATGACATCCAAGTTGAAATGTTTTGGTAAGCATGTTTCATAGGTGGTGCTGGTACTTTCAAGGCATAAAATGTCATACTTTACTAATATTAAAATTGATCAATGAACTTAAGAGTAAGTCAGGTCCATCCAAGATAAATCTTCCCATTAACACTTCAACTGATGATTTAATCAGCCACTTAAGAACTTTGCCTAATTCTATTCTGAGTTCATGAAATAGTACATTTTCCAGTTTTATATTCCTTCCTCCTTTATATTCCTTATACTAGTAGGATTTTCTCTTAAAAAATAAGTTTTGTCAACTACTTGGTGACTCTTATTTCAAAACAATTCATAGAGCAAAGTGGAGATCCTCTGCCTTTATTTCCTAATTTTCTTAATGATGAATCTGTGCCCTTGCTATCTCCCAAGGTGATCAAGTAGCTTTGAGTTTTTTGCTGTTTGTTTATTTTGTATTGGGGGCATAAATAATGAATTTGTTGATTTTTAAAATGTATCTTACATGTTTCAATTTTTTATCACAATAGTTCTTTGTGAGGCTCAAAGTTATCCATTTTTGGTCGATGAGAATCCCCTTCAAATAGGTTCCTAGGTCCCTCTGGTATGACTCAGCAATCTTTAATAATTGCTTTCCACTGTGAAACAGCATGTCCTAGTCCTGGAATCATTCATTTCCCTAAAGGAGCCCCATGTCAGTGAGACATGGTATTTCCAACACCATAATTTGGGTGCTATGGATATTCACTACTATTGATTTGCCATTACACCTAGAACCTTTCCATACAAAAAGCCATAAAATACATGTTTTGGAATAAATTCATATGGACTTTTCTATTCCAGATGAAGCATTACTAAGTTTTTAACTGATCTTCTTAGATTTTCTTTCTTTTAATTTATGCTGAAAACAACAGTTCCTACTAATGTATCTATCTGCTTTATCCTCTTATAGATCAGAGTTTCAATATAATGATGCCACTACTATTACCAAAAAATAAGTTCTAAAAATGTGTTAATATTTCTTTGGTTATTTTTGTCTCTACGATAAACCCGATTAGATATACACAGTCAAGATACCGAGTCGCAAAAATTACTTGAAATAATCCTCTCTGTGGTTAGCCTACAATGTAGACATACAATTAGGTCATTTTGTTTCAGGGTGCTTCTGCTTTTATAGAGATCATCTGTCTCCTAAGATTTGATTTTTAAAACATATATATGAAGGCCAGTGCTGTGGTATAGTGGGTAAAGCTGGGGCCTGCAATGTCAGCACCCAACGTGGGCTTTAGTTTAGGTCCTGGTTGCTCCACTTCCAATCCTGCTCTCTGCTGTCATCTGGGAAAGCAGTAGAAGATGGCTCAAATCCTTGAGTGCCTGCACCCATGTGGGAGACCTTGAAGAAGCTCCTGGCTCCGGACTGGTGCAGCTTTGGCAGTTGAGGCCATATGGAGAGTGAACCAGCAGATGGAAGACCTCTCTCATTCTCTCTAACTCTGCCTCTATGTAACTTTGCCTTTCAAACAAATAAATAAATCTTTAAATATATATATATATATATGATTCCAAATCCAAAACTATAAAAACAAAGTATTATCAGATAGATCTGTTTCCTTCCCTATTCATTCCTTTCTACAGGTACAGATTGCCATTTATTTTCAGTTGATCCTGCTGTTGTTTTGAAACCGAGTTGTTGCCCTTTTAATCAGGTCTCCTCTTGATATTTGGAAACTCAAAAGCCCCTAGTTGTGTTTCACTATTCCTTCTCAGAAAACTTCTCCACCCTATATATATTTTTAAAGATTTATTTAGTTCTTTGAAAGGCAGAGTTACAAAGAGGCAGGGGCAGGGGCAGAGAGCGCGAGAGCGCAGGCACCAGCGCTGGCGCCGTGGCTCACTTGGCTAATCCTCCGCCTGCGGCGCCAGCACCCCAGGTTCTAGTCCCGGTTGGGGCACCAGATTTTGTCTTGGTTGCTCCTCTTCCAGTCCAGCTCTTTGCTGTGGCCCGGGAAGGCAGTGAAGGATGGCCCAAGTGTGGGCCCTGCACCTGCATGGGAGACCAGGAGGAAGCACCTGGCTCCTGGCTTCGGATCAGTGTAGCGCACTGGACGCTGTGGCCATTTTGGGGGTGAACCAACAGAAGGAAGACCTTTCTCTCTGTCTCTCTCTAACTCTGCCTGTCCAAAAAAAAAAAAAAAAAAAAAAAAAGGAGAGAGAGAGTCTTCTATTCGCTGGTTCACTCCCCAGATGGCCACAACAGCCAGAGCTGCACCAGTCTGAAGCCAGGAACCAGGAGCTTATTCCAGGTCTCCCACTCAGGTGCAGGGGCCCAAGGACTTGGGCCATTTCCACTGCTTTCCCAGGCCATAGCAGAGAGCTGGATCTGAAGTGGAGCAGCCAGGACTAGAACTGGCACCCATATGGGATTGCCAGCACTGCAGGCGGTGACTTTACCTGCTATGCCACAGTGCCGACCCCTCCACCCTATTTTTAACAATAAGTTCCTGCCATAAAAGTGGTTACTAAATCACTGTTTCTTAAGTTATATTTGTAGGCTTCACCATAAAAGGGAGGATTATGATCTGTCAAAATTCTAAAGCCCCAAGTTGTGTTTCATTTTTCGTTATCAGAAAACTTCTCCACCCAATTTTTAAACAATAGGTTCCTGCCATAAAACTGGCTACTAAATCACTGTTTCTTAAGTTATATTTGCAGGCTCCACCATAAAAAGGAGGATTATGACCTACAGATGACAACGGGAACCAAAGTTATATGCCCTGCCTCCAACAGAACCAAAAATTGGAGAATGAGTGGAAGAAGAACCACACAGCTTTAGGAAGAAGTTTTGAAGAAGCTTTAGGAAGAAGATAACTTTTGTAATGGGACAAGAGATTACAACATCCACTGACTTGACCCTTCCTCATTCCAACCAATACATAGCTCAGGCAGCCACAGGCCACTTAATTATAAATTGCCCCACTGAGTTGTTCACACCTTGACTTTTCTTTCCTGACTCCATAAAACTTTCCCCAGATCTCCAGTTAGGGAGACAGTTTTGGGTTGGGGGTTCTACCTGTCTTCATGCCAGTCTGCCACGCAGGTAAAGCTTTTCCTTTCCCAAAACATTTGTGTCACAGATCGGTTTTGGTTCACATCACATTGCAAGCCTACCTCATGCAGTAGTAAATTCATTTTGGAAAAAATAACTGTATGGGGAAAATGATATTTTAAAAATGACAATTCAGGCACTGTGGATGTTCACTGCTATTAACTGTGTATGTGTAGATATAATTAAATGAACGTGCATGTATATTAATATATATCCACCTTCCTTTTCCTCCTTAAAAGTGAGCATACCTATAAACTCTTATGCACCATACTTGGTTGTGGTGGTGGTTGTTTCAACCTGAACAGCTGAAACTACCCTGAATCAGTACCAAGAAATCTTTATTAGTTTCTACAGTTGCAAATGCTCCATTGCTTAGACGATCTGTCACTTACAAGCCAGTCTTACACTGAAGGACTTCTGTGTTTCCAGCTTTTGTTTCTATAAGGATGTTGAAAAGAACAGGTGTGTGAAAGAGTCACTTACTGGGGAAGTGATTCCAGGAAGTGGGACTTCTAAATCAAAGAATAAAAGCAAATGTTATTCTGAACAATATCAGAAACAATGTCTTTCCTGTCACCCTCAAATACTAATAATTCAAAGAAAATAAAAAGAAGGGTTCAGAAATTTGGTAGTATGAGTGAAGTTTTTGTTTCTAATGATCCTATAAATCCCCCTGAGAAGAATTAATTCTGAATTGCTATATTGGCATTTTAAATAAACAGCTTAACAGATATAATATTAGTTCATTCATATTGAAAACTTTAGAAGAAACATTTTAAAACAAAAATAGCAAGTATAGTAAAAAGAAAAGTAGGATGGAAGGTACAAAGATGCAAACCTTTCTGGCTGTTCTACTTCTGAAATTCTATGATTTTTATGAGCTAACCTCTTATGGGATTTCCTAAAATAGGTTAGAATTCTATCATTTTAAAGTAAATGAAAAGATTTTAATAGTAAGCCTCTTTTGATTTCTCTTTTTTTCTATTTAATTCTATATTTTCTAAAAGATTTGAAATCTAAAGAAAAGAAAGTAACCTTTATTTAAATATAAACCCACATTTTTGGAGTAATGTATTTTATACATATAATATGGGAGCGAATTCACAGAGCCTGTGCCAAATATTCTCTGCAGGCAGTTTAACAAGGACTTCCTGTTACCAACTAACTCCATGAAAATGATCTTCCCTTCCTCTAAAGAACAGACGCCTAACAGGCAGAACCAGATTCTCCAGGTGTGAAGTAAGCAATCTATTCTCATTTGATATTAACAGCAAAAGTACGACTTTATCTCTAACTTATTTGACTTCTCTATTTGACTTTCAATTAACTATATAAAAACCATGCAGAAATTAGCCTGTGACTTGTAAGACAGACATTTAATTGATCAAAACATTACATGAGATGAATTCAGAACGTCTCTCAAAGGCTAAACTCCAACACCGCAGGTGAAAAAACGACGAAAGGAACGAGAGAAAGGTAAATAAATCACTCTTTTTTTGTGTGTTTTTTAATGTAAGATATTCATTGACTGAAATCTGGTTATATGGTGATATTTAAAAATCGCTCAACAGACAAGAAAGTTTCTTGCTTTGCTTAGATTTGGACAGGGCTATAGGCACCTGATCTGTTCATTTATGCTATTTATATACCGAATGCGATGTAGAAAGCTTAGAAATAGACCACTATACTAAAAATCAATTTTAGAGGAAATTATTTTTAAGGTTTTAGAACATTACTTCTCATTTTGGAGACATTACAAAGTCTGATCCTATAAAAACAACTCAAATTCTTTCTTTTATACATAGACTATAAATTAACTTTGCTCTGCTTGCTTTAAAGAACACCTTTTCATTCAACTTTGAAAATGAGCATATGCCCAAATTTCACATACATGTTTTATGTTTAAAATTTAGGTAAATTTCTATACAGTTTAAATTAATTTATTCAGTGCTGTCTTCCTGATTCTTCTGAAATTAATTTGAGGATATCTGAAAGTAATCTTATTGTAAAAGGACTATCTTAAAATATCAACATACTCAGGTACTTTTTTGCTGTTTCTGCCAGTGTATTAAAAACACATAAATTACAAAATTTAACAAATTTTTTCAAGCTATCACATCAACATAATGTTTAAGTCAGCACTATCTAATGGAAGCAAATAGATAGATCAGATATTTTCAAAATTATAATTGTTACCATGTTAAAATTTAATAAAGATTCTACTTGAAATTAAAATAATAATGACTTTTAGAAGTGTTTTAATGATAGACTTGAAAGTTGGCTACATAAACCTAGAGCACATTATCTTCATGGCTATGTAATTTTAAATTTAATATAAAAACCACTTTATGTATGTAAATAAAAGCTTACTTGGTCAGATAAATAAAAGCTAAAAAATTACATGAGTCTTAATAGTTATACAAAATGAGCTTAATATTGTTAAATTCACTAAGTTACCTGCTTAATTAACTTATTTACACTAAACAAAAGAAGAAAAAAGCATTAAAAACTATTATCAAAATATTAGATAATTCAAACTTAGAGAATATATATAACTTGCAATAATTTTTTAGAAAACACCATACTGTCCTAAATAAATAGCTCAGGAGGTTAATATTCTAGTAAGAATCTCCTCCTTTCACCTTAAACTATAGAAATATTGCAAATTATCTTCACATACAAAAACAAAAGAATTCTCTATTTTATATTGGGTATAACTGGTTATATGTCTTCAAAATCTTTATTTAATGAATATATATTAGGTATAGCATAAAACATTTTATTTAAAAAAACTATAAATACATTAAACATTTATCCCAGGGACTAATTATTCATGTTTCTATTTCTAGGAATTTTTACTGTCTGTAATAGGATGATGAATACTAACTTTGAGTGACACAAGTTTATTTTGCTATTTCCCAGAAGAAATTGTGCAAGTTCATCATTATATATATACCAATAAATATTCAAACTTCCCTTCTTCTTTCAAATATCATGTTTAAGCTCAAAGATAACTATTGTCAGTAGAATTCAAAACTGTACTGTAAAGCAGCAAGCTAAACTTGCTAAAAGATTATTCATATTTGGACAGAACTCTGCCAACCTTAAGAAAGTAAAATTCAGGAACAGAAAAGATTGCATAACACAATGATCTCATTAATTTCACCTAGCAGAAGCAATTAAGTGATTTCATAACTATGAGCTTCATATTTTATGCCTACATAAACTTTGGCTCTTCCAACTTTTAAATTCTAATATGGTCATTTATAAATTAAATTTATAATTTATAAATATATAAGATCAAGAGATTAAATTGGAAATAGTTAAGACATTCCTATAGTTATGAGTATATAACTACTAGAAAATACAATTTATATACACCATGAGAGTACATCTGAGTATCTGCTTTAAGTCAATTTCCGCAAAAGTAAACAAGGATTACAGAAACATTCCAAATTATGTTAACTCTGCAAACATAATCTACTATGATTCAGGCTAGGTGCACAGATATAGAAATTCCTCCCTCTTTCTCTAAACATATAAAATGTTTGATACAGTCTTAAGTATAAAGACAAATTTCAACACTGCCTCATAACATTTTAACATAAAAAGGGAAGTTTCTAGGTACCAGAAATGAAGAGGGAACACACTCAGAGCCAAAATGAAGAGTGGAGATTAAAGCTAACTCTATTATGCTAATACAAACAAGTATTATGCCTTAGAGGATGATGTTTAGGGTCAGTTCCTATGGGGAACTAAAACCAAGTTTCTCAGGTAAAGTAATAAACAAGGAAATACAGTACATTATCTGCATACAAAGACAGGAATATCTCTATCAACTTGTCCAGAATTATGCCAAAAAATTAAGGTACCCATCAAACTACAAAAATCATAGGAGAAAAATGAGGCCTATATTTATACTAGTTGTAATACAATGGTCAAACTCCATGAACCCCAAGTGGTGACAACCACACAAAAATAGCCTCAGAATATGTCTATAATTTAGCAGAGTACTCAGGATATTCCTGTAAAATATAATTCTCAAATATAATCTGGTTACAGAGTTCAATTAATACACTAGCCCAGGGCTGGCAGTGCGGCACAGCGGATTAACATGACGCTTGCAACACTAGCATCTCATATAGGAATGCGGATCCAAGTCCCAGACACTCTGCTTCTGATCCAGCTTCCTGCTAATGTGCCAGGGAAAGCAGTATATGATGGCCCAAGTATATGGGCTCCTGCCACCTACATGGAAGACCCTGATGGAGTTCCTGGTTCCTTGCCTCAGCCAGCTCAACCTTGTTGTTGTGGCCATTTGGAAAATGATCCAGTAGATCAAAGATGTCTCTCTGTGTCTCTCACAGTCATTCTCATTCTCTCCCTCTCTCTGATGCTCTGCATTAAAAATAAATGAAACTTAAAAAAATATATACACTTGCCAACCTCCAGGAAAGTGGCCACTACCTAGTGGCAACAGCAAATAAATAAAATTTATTAGTGAGAAATCAGAAATAGCCAAATAATTTTAAAGGATCTTTAACAAATATATACTTTAAATGTTCAAAAGGAATAAATGAAGACATAAGATTCATAAACTGAGTACAATATAAACACTATGTTGATTTTATATGAATATCCTTTACATAATATGTACATCATAACATATAGTAAGAAAAATCTGATTCAATTTACATATTTTTCCTTTAATATCAATATCATATTTAAAGAAAAAAGATTAAGAATATTTACTTTTTTGTCAGTAAGTTTATTAACATTAATGAGAATAAAATCAACACTAAAATATTTTAAAGAGTTCCTTAAAAAACCTTTTATTTAAAGATAAAAGTGTGGTACTCCTTCAGAGTTGGTGTTCTGAACCGAAATCCAGGAAAAGATGCCTTTTATAGGTGTTAAAGTCAAGTTTCTTGGTTTCTCAAATCAGTGACAGTAAAATTCACTCTCCTAAAGGCACTTTACAAAAATAGTATGTTACAACATCAATTTGAAAAATATTTTTTTCTTAAACAATTTTTAAAATCTAAAGGCTCTTGATGACACTGATAATTTATTTCTATTAAGAAAAAAGATCCATCTAGTCATAAAAATGCTAGTCAGTTGTTTGAGGATCTGTTCCTAGCTATGCATTCAAAGAGAAACTTCAAAACATTATAGTCTTGAGAACTGTTGAAATTTAAAGATTGGTAAATACTACTTAGCCATTATATAAGCATAAAACAAAATTTAATTCTATAGATATAAAATAAAAATGTTTTGTTTTGATATTGTTTTCTCTCTCATCTCTCTGATTATTATTTATTTATTTATTTATTTTGGACAGGCAGAGTTAGACAGTGAGAGAGACAGACAGAAAGGTCTTCCTTTTCCATTGGTTCATCCCGCAAATGGCCGCTACGGCGGATCTGAAGCCAGGAGCCAGGTGCTTCCTCTGGTCTCCCATGCGGGTACAGGGCCCAAGCACCTGGGCCATCCTCCACTGCCTTCCTGGGCCACAGCAGAGAGCTAGCTGGACTGGAAGAGGAGCAACTGGACAGAATCTGGTGCCCCAACCGGGACTAGAATCAGGGGTGTGGGCGCCGCAGGTGAGGATTAGCCAAATGAGCTGCAGCACCGGCCAAGCTAAGAGTTTCATGAAAGGAAATATAAAAATGTATTTTACATCTGCAGAAAGCATATGTATTCAGCTGTTAGTGATAGAATAAAATTTTTCAGAAATTCAAGTTATCACCAAATTTACATTTTAAAAGAAACCTATGCTACCCCCCTCCCCAAATTAAGAGGGCAAATCAAGCATGGAGCTTAAGAACCAAGAATTAAAAGAAGACAATATCAACAGAAAGAAGGAATAAAGTTTTCAATTAAAAGGAGACAATATAAAAAGAAGAAAAAAATTTTCAACACAACCAGGTCACATTAGAGCGTTTTAGAAAATAAACCTCAAATGATGAAATAATAAAATGAAATAAAATTAAAAGAGAATCTGCTACATGCAAATGTCAAGGGAATATTTTTAAAATGTTAAATTTTAGAATGAAATAATGATCACATACAAAAAATTAAGCAACTGAAAAACTACATAATACCTTCAAGGAAAAATGTAAAAGCTGCATGTTTTTTGACCTGTGTAGTGCTTATATGGTTGCATTCACCTTGTGAAGAGATATCAAACTACACATTTATGTTCTGGGCTCTTCTTGTATATGTGAAAATATTCCAAAAAATGTTTTATGAAAGAAAAAGATAAAATATAAATTTTCTATATATGTCCATTAAAAGGGACTAGGTACTATGAAAAAAAGATTGACAGGAAATGTAACCACCATGTTACATGAATGACATGGTTATAAATAATATTTGGGTAGCCACAATAACATGAACAAGGAATACTGACTAACCAAAAATTGTGGCAGAACTATATTAATGTGGCGGTTGAGGAAAAGAAAGAGGTGTTAAGA